AAATAATTATTTTTTAAATATTCTTTAACATATTTTAATTGATTATCTAATAAATTTAGTACATTTGAAGCTCAGACTTTATGGATTTTTTTATTATGATAAACTAAATTTGCATTAAATGTATGAAATAGAGCACAAATGTAATGCAAAAGGTTTTTAGAAGATATAAATCATATATGAATATATATATTTATACAAGAAGATGATTTATATGTATATAAAAATATGTATTTAGAAATATATGTACATATATAAGTGGATGATTTATATATATATAAAGTTCCATACATACACACACATATGTATATATCCACGTACCTCACTTCTCTACATCATCGCATGAAATCTCCAACATCTGCGGCTACACAGTCTCAGATTGACGCATTTGCGCCTTATCCGTGAGTGCATTAGATGAAATTCAACATTGTTTCTGTTCCGCTGTGCCGCTGTCCCCTGTCCCTAGCCTCTCGCTGGCCCTCGCTGTCATGGATAGAACATGCCGACAAGCCGCATGACGTATACGCCCCGGGGGCCGCAAGTGCAACAATCAGCTTCGTGCCTTCCGGCGCTGCCAGCAGCCAGCAGCCAGCTAAGAAACCCTAGCCCAAGCCGTCAGCCAGCCAGGCAGTGAGGCAGTGAGGCAGCCCGGCAGCCAGATCGTGCGTGTCTGTCTGAACTTTAAGCCAATGCTAAAGCAGGTCTTTGCCAATGTCTGTAAGTCGAGGCGACGTATATAAATTCTCGGAGCAGCAGCAGCAGCAGCTGTAACAGCAGACAGCCATAAATCTTGAATAAGGATTTTGACAGTGAGCTAGCAAAAATTTAATTCGACAAACCTTTAATACAATTAGCATAGGGTCGAGGCGGGGCGAGGCAAGGCGTGGCGAGGCGAATGCTTAAAGAGCCAGCAGCAAGGCATAAATATTATCAGCAGCAGCGACTTGACACGACAAGGCGCCTCACATAGACCAAAAAAGGAAAATCATAAAAAACGACATAAAAAACAATAAAAAAAAAGGCAGGCAGATAGCGAGTAAGAGTGAGAGTGAGAGAGAGAGAGAAGGAGAAGCGACGCTGGGCAACCGGAGCATTTAGCAGCAGGCAAACTGGCAGCCAACTGCTGCGCATCCTGCGCCTCCTTTCGTGGCAGGCGCGCATTTCCGTTTGTTATCGCGGCAATGTAAAGGCGTTTCCGCTCCATGCGCCCAAAGGACAACGTCACCAGCACCAACACCAACACCAACACCAGCAGCAGCAGCAGCAGCTAAAGACACTATTAAACTAGTAGCTGCGCGCGGATTACATACGAAATTGGAAAGGATTCGAGAATGAGCCACCCGCCAGAGACGCAGCCAGCGCCGACGTCGATGTCGCTGTCGTTGGCGATGCTGCTGCTACTACTCGGCCTCCTGCTGCATGGTAAGTAGTGGGGCAGGTGGGGACGGGGAGGGGACTTGGGGCAGCAAGAACTACCAAAGCGGGGTTTCAATTTCATTTTCAAATATTTATGCACGTGATTAAGCGCGCTTTTAAGTGCAGCTGTGTGTGTGTGTGTGTGTGTGTGCGATGCGCACACCTATCATATGAGCCGCGATTTATATACGCTCACAATTTATTTGCACAACTATTTACGAGCTTTGGCAGCAGCAGCAGCAGCAGCAACAGCAACAATTCAATAAATGCAACAATTTGCATCGACAACAGTCATAAATTTATCTTAAATGAACAAATATTTTCTTGCCGCTGATGTTGATGTCGATGTTGAAGCTGCTAGCGGGGCAAATAAAGTGCGATATGGTTATATGCAAAAAGCTTATCGCTGCCACAAAAGGCAGCAGCAGCAACAGCAACAACAACAACAACTGCAACAACACCATTTACAACAGCAAACAAATAAATGCTGGCTGTGTGTGAAAACATGACTCACAATTTCACAATGCATTTCAATTTGTAATACATTAAAGACAAAGTGCATACAGAATCCGAATACATAATAAATACTTAAGCCTACACGGATACAAATACAAGCACACACACACACACAGCGCTACACAGAGATTGTTTGCATTCAATATTTGATTCGATATGTTTTATTTTCATTTGGGTTGGCATTCGACTACTTATGACAGAACGGGGGTCATATTGTTTCAGATCAGATCATATTTGCTGATATTATATGGTATATATGTATGTATATATACTGAAATAATGCATTATTATATGTGTTGTGTAATACATGGTTATATGTATATTCACTGGAAAAGAGATATTATTACCATCGGCTATTCATAATACATACATTGAATTTATAACAGAAATATCGAGGCAGAAGCTTCAAGGAAAGAGTTAGATTAAAGACCAAAAGAGAGAGCGAGAGAGAGAATATATATAGTTTTGCAATTGAGCAGTAGAGTTCTATCCGTATTCAACGGTCCCATCTGGCAACACTACAGGGCTGTCCATATTCCACGGACCCATAGCGTTGTTTTTTTTTTTTTTTTTTTTTTTTTTTAACCAAAGAGAATCACATTTTATTTGATAATTATTTATTTGATAATCTTATTTGGTTCAAGTAGATTTGTTGACATAATTTCTTTAATATAATATCCCTCTGACTGCCGCCTTTAGCCTGAAAGATATAGAAATAGAGTTGCTTGATATAGGGTTGTCATATACAGGGTTGCCAGATGAGACTAATTTTTTATCTTATCTCTCAAATGGCTGCGAAATATAAAGCTGTCAGATGAGTCCGTCGAATAGGAACAGTCCTGTATATACGATAAACCTAATCTCAATATTTAAATAAGTAGAGCTGTTTATCTTTGTTTCAGTTTCAAATTATTTCTAAAAAATATTTAGCTTATCTTTAGGTGATTTTCTTCACTATATAATAA